CTAGAGGAGACTGCGTGACCCATAACCAAGAATCTGGTAGAGAAGAGTCCCTCCTAACAACACTGATCAGATGCACATACATGGCCAACACTGAATTGTGACAAGTATTACCACTGTGAAGAACACAAGCTCTGCCTGATGACATTATGTCCAACTCTGTAATTTCTTTCTGTTTCTATGACCAACTCAGAATCCCTTGCATTTATTACCATGGTACTTCAATGAAGACTAAGAACATGCAGGAGAACTGAAACCGTCTGTACAAACTTTAGTTGCAAACATATTGACACAGCTGCTTCAACGATTCTATGGAAGCATTCAACTTTAAGGCAGTTTTTCTAGAACTACAGGTCTAGACATCTGAATTATGTGCTGCATTTTACATCTTCACTTTGTGTAACACAAGAAAGAGAATACTTCAAAGTATCTGAGAAACTATTGTCTTCAAGAAGACAAGATGAAATCTACAAAATTAAGCAAGATACCCTGTAAGCTTTAGTCTTATGGAAACATGTTAGAGATAAAAATGTGACCCTTCCTCTACGTATCCATCACTGTACTGCAGACTGGACAACAGTACTCTGGATTGTACTCGAGACTGCAAAAGCCTATGTAATTTTTAAAGGGGTCACAGAAGACTTGAACTTTACTCTGTGAACCTATAAGGTTGACTGTAAAGAAACACCACCACAGTGGTCTGACAGACAGCTGCCAGCCACAAGACAAACAGGAATCCAGATTTTTTTGAAGAAAGTGTGTAAGAGGACCAGACTCAACAGCATGTAAGCTCCACAGCAGGGCAGCTGGACCAAGTCTGGAAAAAACACCATGTAACAGTGATCAGCAGGCATGTCCTAAAGTGGACTTACTCTTTATCTTCAAGCAGAGATGAGAGAAGGCAGCAGGAATTGATGAAGTCTTCAAGAGCAGAGCATCTATCTTCTTGTACTAAAAGTATTACCACAGCTTCACAGTTCATACACAAGTCTATGAATGTGAAACACAGCCCTAGGCTAAGTCTCTAAGCATATCCTGCCTCACTTTTTAGACAGAACAAGCAGGAATGCTAAACTGCAAATTTAATCCATATATAACCATTGTTACCAGTTCAAATACAGTCAAGGAGACAAGAAAACCAGACCTATTTACGAGCAGGTTCTCTTTTGAAGAAAGTAAGTTGTGAATTTTATGAGTACATGATTATTTTAATGAAAGAACAGTACAGAAGCTTTGAAGCAAAAAAAACCCAAATACTTTCCCAAACTTAAAACATCTGAGTTAGCTGCTTTCTGAAATTAAGGAGTCTATATTCCATGAGTTTCAGTTTAGCTAAGAATGCCACAAGCATGACTGAAAACTGGAACATTATTCCACCATGTGGAAATTAAACATTTATCTTCCACATGTACAACTGAAATTGTACTAAAGACAGTAGGAATTAAAAGAATGAAGCCATTGTTTTTTTTAAGGCGACTATAGTCACATTTTTACCTATATTCAAGTTTCAGAAAAGTAGGTCTAGAAAATGTTGACCATACTATGATATTTTTTGCTTTTTAAGTGCTAGCTACTACTGTTTCTTGTATTTTTTTCCAAAAGCTGCTAAATCCATCTATCTTGTGCAAGCAGAAAACATGTGCTCTCTAAAGTGCTTAACCAGGGGCAGCTCCAATAATTAAACTTCATTCCATTTTATTCTCTTCCCTAACATTTAGAGTATTTTTAGCTTATTTTTTGTAACTATACATGCTTAACACTAGATTACATAAAATGTTATCATTATATGATAAATGTTACCTCTGCTGCCTTTAAATATGTATAAGCACTTAAACTAAATTAAACAGTTATCTAAAGTGGCTGCCCGGAATTCAGTAATGTTGCTTTGTTGAGACCAGGGTCCCCTACCTATTATTAATCAATGTACACGGTAGTTTTATAATTTGTATTGATATACATCTGCATTAATCAAAAGCATGTAAGAGTTAACACATAACACAGACTCTAAAATATCTAGGCACAGTGACTCATTCCTGACAGATTCTCTGGTTAACATGTGAAGATAAAGTGATGCTCATGACCCACTTATCAGATGCTGCTGTCAGTGGGATTCTCACATGAAGAGAGACTCTTGTTCAGCACCCTTTAGAATTGTCAATACTACCAACATTTCATTTATTTACCTTGAGTAAAACAATAAAACAGCAATCAGCTACTTTAATTCTTACTGGCAACTCTTGAAATGCTTTTCCATTAATAGAGAAAGAAGACTTCACTTTAACTATTAATGCTACCCCCAACACAAAGTTCTGCCCATGAAGGGCATGCTTGGAGATCCATCAGGAACCTTCACAGATCAGCTTTCTCCCTTATTCACAAAGAAGTCCCAAGCTAAAAATCAATAAAATAATCAGGACTTGGACTTCAAACTCCTCACATGAAATTAGTAAGTAAACTCCAGGGTGCCTCCTTCGCCTCAAACAGGTTTTCCATAGGGGAAACAAAACAAGGAAGGCCTTAAAATTCAAGTCCTCTCAATCCTAAAGAGTGCAGACAGCTTCAAGGAAATCAAGCACTTTCACCTCTACCCATGGCAGTGAGGTTGGAATTAGATGTTTATTAAGGTACCATCCAACTGAAAACATTCTGTGCTTCTACAATAATGCAAGTACACTTCAGTGCTGCAGATGTGATCACAGAGTGAGTGCTGAATAACAGGGTGGGAGATAACTTGGCTTAAATCCACTGGATGCTTATGAGTATTTGGGTCAAGATGACAGTGGCTGGCCATGGTATCTCTGAATTATAACACATGGGCCTGGCAACCCAGTAATCCCAGGGGGAATAACTCTGACTCTCAGGACAGGACTGTGGTTTCTAACTGGGCACAGCTGCAGAGATCACACTTCACACACAGCACCACTGGATGATGCCCTTTGGGCTAAACAAGTTGATCTCTGTCCCAGAGGTCTGTGGGCTATGGTTACTTCCTCCCTGTTGTTGGTCTTGAGCAGTGACAGTGGCCATGAAGTGAAACGCAGTCTTTGACACTGAGCTTGGGGGATAGTAGCACTCTAAGGCAAGGATAGGATTGGATTGGCCCACATGTGTTGCCACCCAACTTCACTCTGTTGGCAAACTAGCAGACACAGGGTGGTGGAGACACCAGCCATTACAGACCTTGTTGATATCCTAAGTATTGAAGTGTATTTCAACTTCTATGCTACCCTAAACTTAAAATGTAAAGATACTCACCAAGTAACTAGCACATATGACAGTTCATTTAAGAAAAACAAAAAGAATTGTTACATTTTAACAGAGGAACAAAACCAAAAAAAGGTCTGAAATTCATGTCGTATTTCTTCCTGGTAACAATCCTTGTTCTGAATTTAGAAGGAAAAGAAGAAATTTGCTTTTCAAAACTCTCTGAAAGTGAGTAAAAACAAGCTTGAAAGTTGAGAGCTTTCTCCTCAGCATCTACAAACACAAGGTTATCTTGCCCCAGGCTACTTAAATCAGAAGTATTGCTCCCAGTGCAGTTACAAGGTAAGACACTGTATTTCTCAATCTCACTTACAATACTAAAACCTTCTGGAACAAGACCGATGCAGAATTTTTTTCTGGCAGCTGAAAGCGTATCTCAAAGCTGAGGAGCTGCTCTCTGATAAAAGTAGTAAAACTATCTATCTATCTCAAATAATTTCAACTCTGTAGTTCTCTGCTACTGAGAACATACTTTAAATTCAGGATCCTTTTCAGACATCATTTCATGTTATATGGAAAACATCACACCTTGAAACAATTAAGTCCAGCTCTATTCCCAAGTGAGGAGTTTTTTGAAACTACACAGCAGCAACAGTGTGCTTCTGGCATAGAGATCAGACCCATCACGTAAGGATGTGGGCAATCTGAACACTGATCATGAAGAGCTTGAGGTTAACTTCTGTGGGCCTGCAGTAGCTTCTGAAGTCCTTTCTAAGCAACTTTGATAAGGAATGACAAATACATGGGATATGCAAGATAGAGCCAGTGTCTTTGAACAGCCATCCCACTAACTGATGAGATGGTACTTTACATCTTTCCACTCCAACAAGAAGAGGTCAGGAAACACCTAAAGAAGGGACCTTTGGTTTCAAAGCATTGAAGTCATTACCTACAGAGAAAACAGGCTTGTTTTCTCCATCAACCAGTCTTCACCTGAAGACAGTAAGCTGTGCCACCAGCCCCATCTGGTTTCTTTGGCATCCCCAAGAACATTCTTTACACTGAAGAGCAAAGATCGCTTTATGGTTTGGTCAGGCCAGAGCAACTAAAAGCAGTGATTTCAGTATCCCAGACTACCATGCTGAAGGAGGGTGCTTCACAGATTTACCCATTACCTAATGTCTTAAGAAAAAGTCATCAGCTGCAGGAAGATCTGCTGGTTATTCAGAGCCATAAGGGAAACAAACAACAGAATTCAGCCAACAGAAGTCAGACAGAGACTGTTCAGTAAAAAGGAAGCAAAGGAGCATAAATTGATTCAAGTGTGTATCCTAAAGAAACTGTTCAAGTGCTGCAATTCAAAACCAGCTTTACCCATGAAATAAGATAATCTGCCCTTTTTCCAAGGTACAAGCTTCATCACCTGCATCGCTGAAAAGAAGCAGCTTTGCATCAAGCGCTGAAATCTAACTTCAATGAGGTTGAATTAAAATTCAAGGAAACTTTGTATAAACATCTGTTTTTCCACATGTGAATCTTCTTTCCTAGTACTCTGAATCCCAGATAAATGTCCTGTAAGCATTTATAGCACTCAAACTAACCTAAATGAAATGCAAATATAAAAACCTTAGTTTTGGGGTATAAAATTTCAAACATTAATATAGGTTCCTTCTGACCAGTAGCATCAGCACTGCTTCCTTCTGCCTTTATTCCACAACTTAAAAGAATTGCAGAATACCATCTGAAAGTTTGCTTGTTGGAAAAATGAAAAGCTTCAGAAAACTCCAAAACCAACATACCTGTTATTTTGTCCCTGACAAGCTTGCAGGATTCTATTTCCCCAATGCTGCCAAACAGACTCTTCAGTTCCTCTTGGGTCATGTTTTGTGGAAGGTAGTTGACTATTAAATTGGTCTTGCTGTCTTCTGTGTTCCCAGAATCAACTGGTGATGAGCAATTGTTTATGGTAGCTGAACCATGGGCTGTGTTATTACAAGTTGGTCCATTAGACAGTTGTGTTTCCATGGCAGCAATTACCTGCTGAAAAAACCAGAAAACAAGAACCATCAAAATTTGTATTTCAGTATTTAGCAGGAGAGTTCAAACAAGAACCTAAAAGACCTGTCACTATGCAGAAATGGTACTGTCAAGGCCATATACTGCCTCTACATGCAAGAAAAAGAACAAGCAAACACCAGTACAGAAGGACATTAAACTGTTAGTCAAGACAATATTTTAGAACCTTGCAAGCAAATAAACTGTCTTCTACAAGCTCATTAAATGAAATCAGCACTCAAAGCTTAGTTTCCATCCTCTGCCATTCCCTCCATTCAGGGGAATCACAGTCTTTTTATTAGAGAAGTTACAAAACAAAACTAGCCTCTTTCAAAAGTAATCATTTCTAGCAACTTACAACTGGTTACTGAAAAAACATGAAATGCAGCTTTTAAGGAAGTAGAATTTGAGTATTTTCAAAAAGAGGTGGGCATTAACTATATCCAAAGAATACTTCTCATGAGAAATAGCAGAAATCAAGATTAGTATTTTGAAGAGATATTTAGAGGATATATGAATGCGCTGGGACGGAAAATACACGCTCTTCCTTGACAACATCCATGTCAAACCTCTGTCATCGCAGGCTGGAATCCTAAATACTTTTATTTGCCAAAATTGACAATTCTTATTTTTTCCCTCACCTGAACTCTGAGAACAGTTAAATTTGAATCTTGAATTTAATTTACTTTTAGACCATTCCAGAACTTCTCTGTGCCTGGAAGACCACAGAACAGATCCACCTAGAACCTGTGCTAATGCAGATGGAGAACAGGAAGTCCTGTCTGACCAACCAAGTGGCCTTTCTGTGATGAAATGACTCCATCAGTGGACATGGGAAGGGCTACAAGATGTTATCTATCTAGACTTATGTAAAGCCTTTGACACAATCCCCTACAACATCTTTATCTCTAAAATAGAGAATATTTATGGGTGGCTTAATAGACAGATAAGAAAGTGACCACCAGAGGTGGTGGTCAACAGTTCAGAGTCTCGATGGCCCTCAGTCACAAGTGGTGTCCCTCAGGGGTCCATACTGTGACCAGTGCTACTCAATGTCTTCACTAGGAGCACGACAAACGGACCGAGTGCACCCTCCACAAGTTGGCAGATGACCCCAAGCTGTGTGGTGCTGCTGACACGCATGAAGTTCAGGATATCATCCAGAGGTACTTCGACAGGCTCAAAAAGTGGGACCATGGGAATCTCACGAGGTTTAACAAGACCAGGCATTAGGGGCTGCATCTGGGCCAGGACACTCCCTGTATCAGCACAGGCTGGGGGATGAACAGGTGGAGAGCAGCCCAGTGAGAAGGGCTTGGGGGTGCTGGGGGTGAGAGGCTGGACATGGCTCAGCCAGGAGCACTCACAACCCAGAAAGCCAAACGTGTCCTGGGCTGCATCCAGAGCAGCGTGGGCAGCAGGGGAGAGGGGGATTCTGCTTCACCTGAACCCTGCATCCAGTTCTGGGGTCCCAGCACAGGAAGGACATGGAACTGCTGGAGTGAGTCCAGAGGAGAGCTTGGATTAGAGGGACAGAGCACATCTGTGACAAATCACAGAATTTGTCACAAACCTGAGAGAATCAGGTTTGTTCAGCCTAGAAAAGAGATGAATTTGGGGTGGCCTAATTGTGGCCTTTTAGTACCTGAAGGGAGCTTACAAGAAAGATGGAAAGAGCCATTTTTGAAGAGCACAGGAAAAAGAGGTATTTCTTCAAACTTAAAGTTTATGAGGAGGTAAGGCACTTGCCCAGAGAGGCTGTTGATGACCCCATCCCTTGAAATGTTCAAGATTAGGCTGGATGGAGCTTTGAGCAACCTGATCTAGTGGAAGGTGTCCATGGCAAGTATATTAGAGACAGACAATCTCCAAGGTACTTGCAATTCAAACCTGAGTCTACTGTGTCTCACTCCATAGTAACTGACTATGACTGCAAGATGCAACAGAAATAATCAGAGAGTCTGCCTGTACACAAGCACTTGTCCACAAGTTGCCACATATACAAAAGGCTCTCTGCCACCTCGATCAGTGACTGAATGGCAAAAGATGGTAAATACAATGGATTTTTAATGGCATCTTAATATTTAAGATTTGGGCAGCCTACTCTGTTTGAGACCAACTGTTTAGGGCAATATGCAAGAGAAAATTAAGTAGGTTAATTCTCCAGTAATACATATTTCAATGCAAGAAATTCACTAAAGAAATCCATCAATCACTGAAATTTAGCCTCATAATTAAACTGCTAAGAGTAGTTCTCACAAAAAAGCCTCTTGTAAAATCACAGAGCAGCATCACGACCTCTGAAGGGTCTGTCCTTACAGTTCTGTTTAGAGCATCATTTGCAATCAGTACATATCCAAACAGCTGATGAGGTCAGCTGTGTTCAGAGACTGCATAACTCAATCTCCTATTAGTACAAGAGGGTGTAAGTTGAGTTTCTTACTAGAAGTCCAACTTCAACATTCCTGGGAACACATTTCTATGATCTGTGCTCTGCATACTGAAGTATTTTCCAAGAGGTTACTTCAGCACAACACACACAAAAAAAAGATACATCTATTAGAAGCACTCATTAGAAAAGTGTGATCTAGTTTTCCTGAAGAGCTGCAACTGGAACAACATTTTCTTCCCTTGTGACAAACTCCAATGGGTAACCTGCTCCTGGCACTGATGAACATGTCCACTGAAAAGATTACAGATTATCCCAATTAAGATAAATTACTTTTCAAAACACTAGCATACCTGTTAAAGGTAGTCACAAATGCTGTGCTCTGAGGCTATGTAGGTTTGCCTTTTTCCTCTTTTTGTGTTTTATTCTTGAATTTGAAGTGTCCATTGATCAAAATTAGCAGGATTTAACAAGGACAACAAACAATTCTCTCTTAATTGCACATTTACTTTCATGTTCAGGTGGCAAGAATGGGATCCTAAGCCAACATTCAAGTGAACAGCTGCAGTAGCCTGTGTGTGCTGAAAATTACAGCATCTCTCAGCTATAGAACCATCTGCTCTGAATAAAGTGATACTAATATGTTTTACAAATAATGCATACCCCACTAACAAGAAATTGTTCATAAAAGACAATGCACTAAATATTTTTCACTCAGAAAAATAGTTTGAGATAAATTTACAGTTTTAAAAAAAGTTCTTAGAATAGACTGGCAAATATAATTTTAAAATAGTAATCTTAACAACACAACTATACAGGTTTTCAAAGTTACTGCAATTTAGTATTCAGACCATACCAAAACCATTTTAGTACAATACTCCTCTTCAATTATCCACTGTGTATTTTCAATTAGTACTAAAATCTAATTGACAGTAGAAGAAAGGCAAGCCACTGCAGTGTAATTTCTACAGGAGATCACCATTTTACAGAAAAAGTTTTCTTGGTATGCCACTGTGCTCTAGGCTCTCACAGAATAGGAACACAACCTACAGCCCATAATGAAACATGTATGTGAGTTAGCGTTCCAAATGGAAGGTTAAAAGACTTTGGTATGGCCTCAGCACTATTAACATGTAAAGAAGTAGCCTACAGAATTTAAGAAAAGTCCCACAGACCCCAGTCCAAGGCTCTGCTGCCCACGAACCACTTCTAAGCAGAGAAGCCACATCACACAGTCTGACTGCCATGTTAGTTTGGAGTTGCCGTCTGCAATATGGACACAAAAAGTACTGTATGTTAGATTAGCAAGATAATGCAACAAATCAGCTTGTACAAATTTACAGTAATTGCATTTATATTCCCAGCACGTCCATGCAGTGTGGCTTAATTGGATTTGAGGCAATTCCAATCTAATCTTTACAAATTCAATTGTAAAATTATTTTTCTTATGTGAAATAAGATGCTTATTTTTAAGAAGGTTTAGAAGACAATGCAGTTTAGTTACCCCTGCATCTACCCTGGAAACTACCTCCAGTACCACACCATGCCTAAAAGAAACTATGCCACAAAACATGTTTTCAAATCTTCAAGACAGAAGAGGAAAGACAAGAAATACAAGTGAGTTGATTTTCCATCAGTACATAAGATGATCATGCACCACTAAAAGACAGTTCCCCTTACATGTCCTTTCCCAGCCCACTGGAAAAAAAAAACGTACAAAGATGACAAAGTACTGTGTTAGAATCCAGTCCATTCTTGTGCAGATGGTACCCACTAAGTTTCTTTGCAACAGCTGTTTAAAAGTACCACTGAACATACAAGGGCAAACAGAGTCAAGGATTTATCAACTGGAGTAACAGGAACAAAATATGCAAGTGTTTTTCATAAGGGTGTTCTTATAACCAAGAAGCTGTTCTTCATTTTAACTAAATCACTGAAAATCCAGTTAGATTTACCCTGAACAATTCTAGGAGGATACCACAAAGGCTAATAGGCCATTTGCAGATGATTACAGGTTGTCCAGATGTGAAACATAACCACAACAGGAACAAATAGAAAGGCTCCTGAAGACTGCCATAGCTTGAGACTGCTGTTAGTGAAGAGATCCTTCTTGCCCACAGTTAGCAGATGAGGTAAGTCTAAACTTGATAAAAAAAGACAGGTTTCCTAAGGCTGCTGCATCCAGGACTTAGAAAGATGTACTATAAAACTTCTTCTGTTTCAAAATGGTGCACATTACTTTTCACGTCAGTTTGCTACCAAGGTCCATATGCTTAGCTGACTTCATGTCTGGTCTTTATTTCTAACTTAGGTGAATAAAGACCTTCAATAACCCTTTTATACAAAATACTGAGGTTTGGAATCAAGTGCAAATTTGTATGTCATTCTCTGTGGTCTCAAACCAAAAATAACAGGAACTTCTCAAGCTCTCCATTATTCATTGGCAAACACATTCGATAAACTGCTTACTACATGAATAAAACCTGGAGGTAGGTTCAACTGACTTCTCTCAAGTCCAGACAAGCTTTAGTAAGAAGACTGCTTTAAAACAGCAGTCTCCAATACTCTTGTCCTACAGAGACTGTAGTGATGTGCACAAGATGATGCATTTGGATCTCTATGGCTCTCAGCAAAGCAGTGTGACCCCACAGATTGTTTGTTTCCTGTGAACCACACAGGCTGTAGATGGAAATCGTCAATAGAACAGCTTACTTGTTTGTACAGAACTTCAATGTACTCACTTCACCGTTCTCTCAAGCACTGCTCCACTTCTCAAAAAAAGCCAAGAGCACCTGTCGGTTGAAGTACTTCCAGCTTGCATAACACATTTATCTTCACTGAAGCCTTCTATACAGAACTTGCAATCAGTGTGCAAGTCAGCTCTCTGACTAAAAAAAACATTATGTCTCAAAAACTTACTTTGCTCTACCAGTTCTTCTACCATTTTTATTACTTTCAAGGCTGTACAGACTGCTCTCTTACATCTAGTTTGGAAAACTGGAATTCTTAAGATTTTATTTACATTTCTATCTGACCTAAAAACAGTATTCAATATGGCTAATTACATTCTAGGGAAAAAAAAAAGAGAAAGCTTCCTGAAATGAGTTTTCAGCTTTAGCACTGTAAACCAGCACATTAACAGAGAATTTGAGCTGTGAGTTTTCTTCCCCCCTCCCACCAAAGATTTTTAAAATACTGAACTACTCAAGAATCCCCAGTATCATTAAAAAAAGCTAATTCAGTTTTTGACTACTAGCCTCAGAGACAGTATTACACTTCAGGTCATTAAAGTATCTTAGCAGTTACCGCATTCAAAACCTATAAAAAAACCATTATGCTCAGGAAGCAGGGTTCTATACCTGCTAAGGGAAAGTTTGTCTTTAAATACATTCAGATTAAGAGGGGAACAAAGTCAAGTTGACTGAGTAAATCTCTTTATAACGCTGAAAGGAGGCAGAACTAAAGACAAAGTTGTTCAGTTTGGCAATCTAAGTAGTTGTCTTTATCATACAGTGCATGGCAGACATCGATCTTTCAATAAACTTGCTTTTAGTTCATCAAGCACAGTAAGATTTTAAACCCAAACACTCTTAAACACTGTTTATATCGCATTAACTGAATGCCAGTTTCTAATTAGCTGCAGTTCAAGCAAGTCATGAGTAAGGTTTGCCTTGCAGAGAAGCAAGTAGGCTTTTTTGTTTTTCAAGAAAAAAGACATCAGAAGTTCAAAAGACATATGGTTTATGCAATTAGTTCTGGTTGCTATAGAACAGTTCCAATTATAACATCATATTTTTGTATGAGAGCTTTAGAAAATATACTGGAGCTAGCAAGATGAAGACTGGATAAACAATAGCCACAGTGACCTACTAACTTTCCCTTCAACACAGGTATTTTGGTGTGCAACATACTCAACTATTCACGCTCAGCTGAAAATTCATGCTGAGGCTGGATCTCAGCAGTGCTGACACAGAACGAAGGAGGTGACAAAACAGATAAGCCTTCAACCACCATTACCACCTCACATGCATACAGACGCTAGGCAGAAACATTTAGTGCATCAGACATATGACTGAAGTCTTTCTACCACCTGCTTCAATTCATATCTGTGCATCCTGGTCATTGCTGGGTGAGAAATAATTTCACATAGGTTTTATACACATAATTTAATTCTAATTATAGGTACTGCACTAAAAAAGTCGCTGCACACGTGCCTGCCACAATTACATCATATTCTTCTAAACAGTATTATCACATCAAGGTGATTACACTCTGAATTTAAGACAGCAGATACTAAATACATCTGCTTCCTTCAATATGTTATGACTGTTCAGAGGCAACCCAAGCTAGACCATCAGATGCTGCCAGCCACAAAGTTCACAGCTGATACAATGCCCTTGATTAAGTCCTAAGAGATCTAAAGGTGCTCCTGTACATCCTCCTCAAGGCTTACATACCAGGAAACCTTCAGAGCACGCTTTAGTATTTAGTGTTTGCCCTCCCATCCTGTTTCCCAGTGCAAGGGAAGCATGCAATAATTGCAACACATCATTTGGACAAGCAAACACTACAGATTTTTTCGTAATACCGAACTGCAGAACAAGAACCACCTCTGGCTGTGCACATCATTCTTTATCTCTTCCAGACAGAAAGGCCTAAACAAGAACTTTAGTCTCTGCTTGTAATGAAGTTGTTCTTTTTCCAGAGGATTTATTCCATCTACTTTGACTTACAACAGTAATTAATGCATTTTAACAAGGATAAGCTGCTTCTTCTCTGTGGGGACTACTGCTAAACATGTTAAATAAAAAAAAAAAAAAAAATCAATTATTTGAGGGCTCAGTGAAAGATAAGACCTGGCACAATACAGATGCTGAATTTTGCTTTAAAAAACAGAATGCAGCAAAACAATTTTTTTTTCGGGGGGGGGTATTAAATTTTAAGTGCAGAATTACTGATACTTTGAATAGACACAATTCTTCATGCTTCCTCTTTAGTGATTTTCTTCTTTACTGGAGTGTTAATTTGAAGGACTCCTTTTTTTCAAATTGTCAAGTATCTTAGAAGCATACATAAAAGGACAGTACTAATTTGTGCACACTCAAAATAGCTGTACAGTAAGAGATAACAGAGACTGTTCAATCTAGCATATGGAAACTATTACATAGTTTGCTTGAGCACCCCAAACTCCTTTGTGGGTAAAGGCACACACAGGCCAGAGGGCATGTCTTCAGTTAACAACCTTGCCTGTCAGAGTAAAACACTACTCACTCTTTCAATTTCCCCATAAGAAGGATAGCTGTCAAGGAAAGCCTGATGAGTGCTCCGAGCTCCACATATTAACAACACATCTTGTGCTTGGCAAGTCTGCACTAACAGGGCGAACAATGCTCATTTCTTTGTCTCCACTTTTTGTTTAGTAGTATTAACCACCATGTCCCCATCAGCAGCCCTTCCCACCTACATGTACATTCATTTGCTGTTCTCCCTCCATTACACTATTTAAGAATGTGCAGCACAAACTACATTGGAGTATTGATTGATGAGAACTCATGCAGCTCAGGAGAACAAACCAGAGGAGTACCTCTTGATTTATGCTAAGTTACATGGAAGAACTTTGATAAAATAGATGAAAGACAAACTTCACAGAAAATTTAGAATTTTTCTGATAATGAGAAAATGATAATTTTCTCAAATCTTCAAGTAACTTGAAAAGTTACTAATGTAAACAAAGGCAATTAACACCAGAAAGCATGAGCCCTTTGCAACAATAAAAAGCAATTTCTAGCCTCCCAGAAGTGGCAGTTTACGAGAACCTTTCCACAGTGACTCTTCAATGATTCACTAAAAAAGTAATACCACTTAACATTTCTACATCTTGGCCTCAAAGTCATAATGAATTGTAGTAAGTAAAGAAATGGTTATAAAAAAAAAGTCGCATGAATTTTAGGGAAAAGGATTGTAATTCACCTTTGTGATTGCCGCTGCAGAAGCTAATCTGCAGAAGCTTTCAGCAGGAATGAAGAAGCAGCCAAAGCAGACTTTAGCCTATTCTAGGTAAGCAGTGAGAAGAAAATTGAAAAACTGCAGACAGTTGAACAAGAAATAGCTATTAGAGGCATGAAAGAGCTTAACAGTGCTGGTGACCACACTAAAAGAACAGAAGCAAGAAAGTGAAAATTATCTACTGAATGTAAATATTTGTAGGAACACTAAAAATGTATACATAGATTAAAATAAAAAGTCTCCAGTCATTATGAAGTGGTTTTGCAAACTCTTAACATTCCTACAAAATACTTAAGAGTATTAGGGTACTCTAAACAATGCCCTACTAAAGCTACTATGCATTAGGAATGAAGCCAACAAACACTTGCAAGGGGTTCTGAAAAAATAATACATGTACAACAAGGTAAGGGCATTGCTTGGCAATGGACTAATCTAGAAAAAACAAAGGATCTCTTCTGACTAAAAATTCCTGATTATCCTATCAGATGGGGTAAAGGGAGGGAAACATACAGGGTAACTTAAGTTATCCTAGAAACCATATTAGAAAGCTCAGCTCCAACAGTGTTCTGTAAAGAAAACAAGCACCTCCATTCCATTCAGGGATCAGCTCAAGTGAGACTCCAATAAACCATTAACCATTTTTACATTCCTAATTATTCAGGTAATGTAGACACACAACCACTTCTACCAACACAATTCCCTGAGCAAGACAGCCATCAACATGTATTACCAATTAGCTCATATAAAAGAAAAAAACCCCAAAACTCAGCACAAAATTGTACTTTCTTTTTCACTGCCCTCTTTCATGTTAAAAACACTCAAAGCCAGCTGAGGGAAAATGATTACTTTGGATTGAAATTTTTTTACTATTTGAAATTTTAGCTACATGTCAAGTTGGGACTGTTTGAACACAGCCAATATTGATGTTCAAGGAGAGTTCCACCAAAGTGATGACTAGATCACACAAACAGCTATTTCAGATCTCAAATAAATAAGCTCTGAACAATTACAATCCTTAACCAATATTTAAATAAGATTGATTTTTAACAGGAGCAATTTTTCAACTGCACTATACCAGCCACATAATCTTGCCAACTAAGTCTATTGTTCTTATTTGCTGTCCCAGTCTCCTTTGTTAACTCTCCCAGCCTTCTAGCAAAATGCTCTCCAAGGCAATACGGCTCTGTCAAAATGTGTATGTATTCTTCAAGATGAAACTGCATCTTATTGCAGACATTTCCTTTCAGCCTTAGACATTTGCAGTCCTCTCAAGCCTACTAACACAAGAGAACAGAAGATTCAGTGAGGGTGAAAGGAGACAACTTGATGACTCTTCAAATATAGCAACTTGATAGGTTGAAGGGTTTCAAAGTCAACATCCACTTGAACTGGCTAGGATGCCTACTTCAATTTTTCAGCATTTACCTCAGCATTCCAGTTGGGCTGTGTAAAACCTTCTCCCCTTACATACTGCAGTTACATCCTTCTTCCCCACTGACAAATTAAAAAACTGATGTTTATCAACAGAGAGGAAGAGGAAGCAAACAAAGTTAGTATAATTGAAGAGGTATATAAATCAGAAACACACAAATAAAAGAAATGGGTTCTTCCTAATCAAGAAAGCATGTGTCCAATTCCAAGGCCACACACTACTCCACAGTGCATCTTCCTGAAGGACAACATGGTTTTGTCCCTCATGCACTCAACCTTCTTCACTGCAACAGAGAGCCCAACAGTGAATGACAGGATTCATCTTCCAGGATAAGGAAGACAAGGCTAAAGGAACAGCTCTCTTGTGCTGGCTTTTCATGGCAGTACTCCTTGCCCAAGGCTCACTGATAAACTGGAGAGACAGTCTGGCCCAAAACACACCCCCACCAGACATTCCATCAGAGGGTACACCCCAGCAGATCCACAGGGCACCTGGTATCCCCACCACAGCCCTACCCTTCAAGCTACAGGATGAATCCCATCTATTTTCTCCCTTAGGACAGTTTTTGTTCTGACAGAAACATTCAGCTCAAATGCAGATTAGACAAGAGAAAAGTTGCATGACTAAATATCCCTACCCCTTAAACACTCACGTATACTGCCATTTAGCTCAAAAAATGACATCCTCAACACCATACAAAGAGAGGGGAAAATACAAGCAGCTGTAAGTCAGAAGCCAGTAACAAACATGCCTCTCCCTTCCTCTACAACCATTTTTAGAAGTACTATCAAAGTGGTATCAGGCTGGACAGCAACACAATGCCTACACATTCAGATGTCTCCTTTGGCCCAGACCATCGTGGCCTGACATGTCACAGCATCCTTCCTTCTGCTCCTGAAGTCATGACAAGCAAAGCTTACATGCAACACAAAGTATTCAAATCAAACTGAAGCATGCACCATTATGTACACATATAGAATCAAGTAATTTTTGCACAGAAAGCATTAATTCTTCCATTGAGGAAACCTTCTGGGGAAGATGATATCTCCATTAGGGTAACAGCTCAACTAGCAACACAAGGCAAGAGGTACTGGGATTTGTCAGGTACTCTGCACTCCAGCAGATACGACAGCAAACAAGACACCTGAACATCCCCAAAATTGTTTTAATGGTGTAGGATTACATCTTAGAGATTAAGTACTACTCAAATAATAAATACTTGCTTTCATTCTTTGGTGAAAGGTCTCAAAGTAGAATGAGAGGCAAAGAACAGGGACTTGTGGCAACAACTGACTTGAGCTGCCTTTTTTTTTTTTGTCACAGCTGGGCATGAGGGTTTGGAAGAACATAAGGAAACCCTGTTCAAACTGAAACACTTCCAGTCAGCATACTCTGCTCTCATCAGTCAAGAGAAGATGAAATTTCACCTGAAGTTACACGGCTTCTATTTTATTACTTCTTTAAAAAAAGATTTCAAATCACAAGATGAAGATATCAACAAACCACTCTTGTTAACAACTCACAGTGAGCTAATATGAAAACACGTGGCCAAGGCCAGTTTATTTTCAAAATTTACTGTGGATTAAGACTGACTATTCAGTCCCCAAGAAGTGTTCTTAATGGCCGCAAGTTCATAAGCACATCTTGCAGGAAAAAAAAGCCAAACAAGCTGAACTGGGGCTATGATTTCACCCATCCTGCCCAACCTACATAGGTTGGAAC